ATATATATATATATCTGGGGTCTCTCGTTGCCTAGAGGTTAATGTGTTTGCCTCTCATTCAAAAGTCCCAGGTTCGAATCCGGGTAGCGACGGAAATATTTTCTTCTCCAAAATGTTCTCCTTTCACCTCCTTTCTTGCTCTCCAAACAATGTTCTGTGGTCTGCTTTCGTCTCCACTTTCTGCCCTCACCCCCTCACCTCCTTTGCCCCCTCCTCTGGGCTCCTGAGAAGCCTTTCTACTGCTACTCCTTGGCTCCTTCTTACTGCTGTCACACCCCTGATCTTCTGGTAGGAAAGATCTACACCTAGCCTTCTCGGACAAGGGCGAAAAATCTCGGAGGTCCCGTGTGCAAGTTGCGCACGTTATCTAAAACCGATAAGAGTACGCTTCAGCCGCCACCAGGGGAAAATTCAAAATTTCCTACCGACTGAAAATATTCAATGTGTCCCGAGCGCTCATATGACCATATGCAGATGCGAGTGCCGCAAAACACTTATTTTTAAAAAAATGTATCTATCTATTTATCGACCTATCTATCTACCTATCTATCTATCTATCTACCTATCTACCTATCTACCTATCTATCTATCTACCTATCTATCTATCTATCTACCTATCTACCTATCTATCTACCTATCTACCTATCTATCTATCTACCTATCTACCTATCATGTTAACACTCATGATCCCGTAACGTCACTCACTTTGTTTGACAAAAAACCACTCTGAAAAAAGTAACTGTCGATAGATGCCCGCCTTGTGCAGCAACCAAGAAATCTCCATGAATTGGCTGAAACTTTGCAGCAGGAGTGGACCAACATGCCTCAAATAAAGATTCAACGAATAATTAGCTCAATGAAACGAAGATGCCAGGCTGTTATTGCTGCACAAGGCGGACATAGATCTACTCGTTATTGAAATCACGCAATACACGCAATACAAGCAATACACGCAATACAAGCAATACATGCGATTTTCCTCAAATCGTGTTTTGCGTTTTTATCACATATAATCACACACATAAAAAACAACAACACACACACACACACATGTCCACACGAACACGCACCCCCACCCCTTACTCGAACATAATATTGCATGACATTATTATTCACCCTCCCCACCCACCAACATAATTCTCCCCTACCATTGTGGCATCCACAAGCCAAGTCGTAACCCCACCGCTCTGTGGATACCTTTAACAAACTGACCATCACCTACTTTTATTAAACTAGACAAAACAACTTTGAAAATACTTGGTGCCAAAGCAGCTCAACATTTGGCCTCTAAAGCACCACCATCACCATCATCATCACCCTCACCATCATCACCACCATCACCATCATCACCATCATCCAACTGGCCTAAACCTCACCTCCCCTCCCTCGAAACAAAAAATAAACCACGTGGAAATATTCTACTTCTAACCCCTTTTCCCCATTCCACCCCCTTTCTCCTTTATCCCCAACATATTCATCCTACCCCCCTCCTCCTCTTTCTCCCCCCATCTCCTCC